GTCTCACCACCCTCGCGGCAAAGAATTTCTTATCATGGAATCATCAGAGATTCCTCAGGGTTGCAAGGGACTTTTAAAGGTCACTTATTCCAAGTCCCCTGCAACAAACAGGGACATGCACAGCATCGTCAGGCTGCCCAGGATCTGATCCAGCCAAGCGCAGGACCTTGCTCATGGTTTTGCTGAACTTCATGAGGTTGGCCTGGACTCATCCCTCGGGCCTGCCCAGTCCTCTCTGGATGGCATCCCTTCCCTCTGGCGTGTCAGCTGCACCACTCAGCTTGGTGTCGTCTGCAAACTTGCTGAGGGCGTGCTCAATCCCACTGTCCGTGTCGCCTACAAGGATGTTAAAGGGCACCAGACCCAGCAGCGGTCTCTGAGGAACAGCCCTTGTCACCTGTCTCCTCTTGGGCACTGAGCCACTGACCGCTACTCTCTGAGAATGATTTTTGGGATACTACTTGCATTTGTCTGCATATTCTAGGCCTAGGAAACAAAGGGACTTTTTATACTAATTGTTTAACTAGCCAGATATTCTGGCTCCTGATGGAGAATTTCTATAGCAGTTGGAAGTATTCTGAAATAGCAGCTGGAATAGTATATGGTATCAATTTTTTATTGCCTCTTAAGGATAATGAATGTGGAGGGGTGTCATTAGTCTACGCTGATCTAAAACATGTTGGGAAAGACTATAAAAGATATTGCAGAGGTGGAAGATGTCTTCTAAACAGGTATGGGTCCGTTTTGGAGTGTGGAGTGACTACACAGCTGGAAGTGGAATGCAACAGAATGTGTTATAGTAAGATATCTTCTGGTTTTATAAGGGTGGCTTTGATGCTCAAAAAGCTGGATGTTGTTAAAAGTACGTGAGTGCACCTGTGTATAATAAGAACATTAAAATGAAAGCTGAATTCAGAAAATATAATGTCTTCAATGGAAAGTGTGGGAAAACTCAGCCTGAAGGATGGGCATTGCTACTAGCAGTTGGTATTACAGATTTGAAGGCAGAGGTATTAGCTAGTCTATCACTATTAGAATGGTGCCAGTTTGCAGATGACAGCAACATAACATATAAGGAAAGTAATTTAACTGTCGACAAGCTGATTAGTCTGATCTCATCAGTAAATAGAACCCTAGGAAAACTTCTAAAGAGAAACAGTTATTGAAGATTTATGATTAGAGTACATCACCTGGAAGACGGAATAAAATGCGGCGTATATTTACCAGCGGGTGTCAGCATAATTTGGTATCAATTATATAATAAAAATAAACATTTATGGACAGGAAAACAAGATGTACTTATCTCTTGGATTTTATGGAAGCAAGTGATGTGGGAAATATGAAAAAAAACAACAAAGCAGGATGAAGAACACAAATGTTTACTCTTACTTATGCAGGAATTTCATAGAGGGGAGAATGTCACTGCTTGGGCTGAAGCAGAAATGACAGGCCTATAAAAATATCTGTCAACCCTCTCCTGTACAATTTTTTAGATTCTTTAATATTTGTATTAATTTCATCTCTAGAGTAAAAAGGGCTACTGAGTAAGTAACATTTTCAAATAGCATATTTAGCATCACTGAAGGAAGAACAATATGTGGAATATGTGAGGACAGAAAAAAGATGGACAAAGAATGATAGCATTCAATACCAAATGTAAAATCTATATTTTTTTACGGTTTCCATTCACCAGATGAGGTTGTCCTGATCTCCATCCCACCTGTCTTTGGACACCGCCAGGGATGGAGCTTCTCTGGGCAGCCTGCACCAAGATTTCTCAAAACCTTCAACATAAAAAATTCCCCTGTCATTTAATCTGATTTTCTCCTCTTTTAGTTTAAAGCCATTCCCACTTGTCCTTTCACTTTCTGCACAAATAAAAAGTCAGTCTCCCTCCTATTTATAAGCTCCCTTCAAGTACTGGAAGGCCATAGTGGGATCTCACAGAATCACAGAATTGTAGGGTTGGAAGGGACCTCCAGGGATCATCGAGTCCAACCCCCCTGCCAAAGCAGGTTCCCTACAGCAGGTCGCACAGGTAGGCATCCAGGCAGGTCTGGAACATCTCCAGAGAAGGAGACTCCACCACCTCCCTGGGCAGCCTGTGCCAGTGCTCCGTCACCTCACTGTAAAGAAGTTCTTGTGCACATTTGTGCAGAACTTCCTATGCTGCAGTTTCTGGCCGTTTCCCCTTGTCCTGTCTCCACACACTGCTGAAAAGAATCTGGCCTCGCCATTCTGCCCCCCACACCTTAGATATTTATAGACCTGGATCAGGTCTCCTCTCAGTCTTCTTTTCTCAAGACTAAATAGACCCAGTTCACTCAGTCTTTCTTTGTATGTAGGAGAGGTCCACCCCTCTGATCATCCTTGTGGCCCCCTGTGGATTCACTTCAGCAGCTCCACATTTTACTTTTGCTGCAGTCAAGACCTGGATGCAGTAGTCCAGACAAGTGCAGAGTAGAGTGGGATAATAACCTCTCTTGCCCACTGGCCATGCAGTCCAAGAGACAGAATTACTGATACAAACCTTGAACTTGTTAACTGCGATGAAGAAATGAGGAAGAACAACTAAAAAAAAAATATATCAATGACTACCAATAAACACTATAGCATGGCCAGGAAGAAGTCAGATTTCAGTCAAAGTCTAAAGGATAAAGGATGTTTAGCAAGTAAGTAGAAATAGTACTACTAGCCTAACATCTTATCTGGAATGAAATCCTGGCTGGGCATACTCTCTGTGTTTGAATAGAGGCAACAAGTATTTAGATGAACAGATAAAATTAGTGGGCAATTGGAGGTTATACACTAGGGAAGGATCTGAAACAGTTTTTTCACTCTGATAGCTGTGAGGAGACACAATAGTATCTCATAATGTCTTAAAGTGAATATCAAAGACTAAAAATAATTATTTGCAAGCAAAGAACTATATTGGGAAAAGCGTAAGACTATTCAGTGGTTGTAAGCAAGCATGTAGAAATTGGAAGAATGTTTCTCATGACAGAATGGGATCTAAAACTGCCAAGTAATAAGACTTGAAACCTAGCTTGTTTAAAGGTAATAGCCAATGGGATGTCACAGGATGTTAAAAAAAAAGATAATAGGAGACATTTCAGTTCACTGCCTCAAGAGATCCCTTTCTGTTCAGCGTACTTAAGATTACAGAACATTTTTCTGCACCTTTCGTCATTCCAAAGCATTGCAATGCATGCAGTCCGGAAAGAGTTTAGATTAGGATCTCTTGGATTTCACCTACTGAACATTACAGACCTTACTGTAATATCAAATACCCTTTGTTTTGAATCTGCAACATGTGTTCCACAGATTTTCCTGATTTGCAGCTTATTTCCAGGTGTAGATCAGTGTGCGTATTAATGAGCACTGGGCAGTGTGGAGTCTCAAGTCAGATTGTGATTCCGCAATACAGAGAGGATTGAAATACAGTTAGTAGTGAAATATCAAGTTCTGAACAGCTTAATTCCTTTTGGTCTGTGTTTCAGAGCATAAAATCAGCTGATGAGTAGTGCTCATAACAGAGTTTGATTTTAATGTAGCTTTCTTTGAAGGCAAACACTCTTGAGGCTCAGAAAAGTTGAGCTTTCATGGATAGGGATAATAGCCCATCTTGAAATTTTCTGCATCTGTAAACTATTTAATACTTACAGCCTGCAGGGTACACACCCTGAAGGACTAGCACTAAGAAACATGTATGACTTGAAAATTAAACTAAAACTGCTGGCTAAGCAAGTTTGAGAGACATAGATTAAGGAAAATTATTTGGTTTAATTATTTTCAACAATTTATTCTTCCAAAAATTTCAGATAAAATTTCCAAAATTTTAGAGATTAAAAATAAAAACGAAACAAAACCTGCATTCTTCATGGAAAGACAAACAGCATATTTATTAGACATAGGTGGCAAATTTGAAGTTTACCCTGGGGAACATTCATGATCTCATAGTGGTGATATCTCTTCCTTTTGACGTACACATTATTTGACCTTCGTGTTGTGAGCTTCCTTAGGGTAAAAACAGCAATCTTTTATTCTTGATCTGACCTTGACAGCCTGTTTTAATAAGTGCTGAGTGCCTTTGACTTCTGTGACTTTCCAGGGAACTTCTAAACGTTCAGGTTTTCTTAGTATCTGCTCTAACTTGATAATCTATATTTACATAGAAGCTCAAATAAAACTGTCTGCCAGCTGTTGTGAGAAAGGAATCAAATTTGGGAGTGGGGAAGTTGTGCCATGTTTCTTAATTTTGCAGTATTAATTTCACCCTCAGTGAACATACAGATGAAGGCAGGAAAATTCCTGCTAGATCTGCATGTCCCTCCTGCATAAATCTCTGTGCTTTTCTTACACAGGATGGCCTTCAGTGACTGAAGCTGAGACTGAGAAAACAGCTGCATTGTACTGCAGACTCAAATCCTGCTACAGTTACAAGCTGTAGGATTCAAGCATGAACTAAGCAGGATTACACAGAAGGGCACTATATAATACTTGGTGTGAATTAAAGGTATGAAGAAAGACACATTTCTTTCTGGGTAAGCTACTTTTATTTTTCCTGATGTTTAAATTTCCCGGTTATGATCTCAGATGTGCTAAACCTTTTAGAAAAATAAACAGCAAAAATTTTCTATGAAGTATTGTACATGACAGTCTTCTTAAAATCAAGCATATTCCACAGAAATGTAAAGATATTTCAGCCCATTTGCAGGTATTACTTTAGGGTGCATGCTTTGTTTCCTTATCTTAAAGCAGGCTGTTCTTAACTCACTAGTTTTTCCAAGGTTGAGATTAAGTGCTATAAAACAGTGTAACTTTTTTTTTTTTTTTTTAAACTTTTCTCACGAGTAATACTAAACCAGAAAATAAAGGGTCTGGTCTGGTTAAAACAGTAGCAGTATTTTAAAAACATGCAGCAAAATAAAAATAAAAGATCACTAAGCATATCATTCTGTCTCCCCAAGACACAGGTATTTTCTAATATATTTCCTTACCTTGGATGTGAATAATCCTCTCATGCTCTAGGCTTGAGTTGTCAGGATGAGGTTCTGCCCAGCAGACAGAAATGAGCACCAGAAAGAGTAGACTCGTCATCTTCATAGTCACAAGTATCTTGTTCACTGTATGGGCATCACATAACAGAAAGACTCGTCAATTTTTTGAGCCCTTTATGGAATTGCTCTGCACAACTTGTTACAGCAATGGTCTTTAAAGGGATCTGGAACATATTTTGCCCACTGAGATGAGAGTGTAACAGTAGGAAGAAATTCTTTAGGCATGAAGGTTGGACCCTTTTATCGTGGACTTCCATTAATTGAAACTTGCAATAGAAAAAGCTATGCAAAAATGCAGCATGAAAGAATAAAAGCATTCACACACAGCCATAATACAAATTCCTTGCAAGACCCTATGTAAGCTACAGCAGTGTTTCAAAAAACATCCTAGTGCACTTTTGCATTTCCAGACTCACTCCAGATCTGGTCAACAAATACAGTAAAAACAACTAGAGCCGTCATTAAGTCTGTATTTGTGGTATATTATGCAAGCTGCTGGTGAAAGGTTTTTAAGGCAAAAAACGTCTCCTTGTTGGTTCTGGCATTTCAGACAAGGCTGCAAGTTAACTTAGCAGAAAGGGTGGCAAGTTTGCTTAAGCCAAGCAATAAAAATGGCAGATTATGTCTGCAGCTGATTAGAAAGGTCTATTTTATTCTGAATCCACTTACCACGTTAAGAGATGTCTAAAAACACAACAAAACCATGCACAAAGTAGGTTACAGTTGTATATGCTACCACTGCAGCTGCCCTGATTGATTTTTCATTCATTTCTACCTAGAGTGCTGACGCACTAACTCAGTGTGCCAGGTAGGGTCTCTGCAGTCAGCAGAGCTGAGCGCTGCAGGGAAATTCTCTGCCAGGCTCTGAGTAGTAATTAGGCAAATGAAGACCTGAAATAGAAAAGGAGGCATAAAATACGAGAAGTTTTGTATAGAGGGCTCAGGCTTATCTGTGTTTTATAGCTATAATTTTAATTACCCTGTTTCTTGAAATAAAAGATAGATATTTCCCAACTTCACTTTTCAAGACTAGGATTTTTTTTTCAGTCTTCAACTAGAGACAGCATTATTCATAGGCTTTCTCTCTAGTGCAGGAAGAAGTGTAATCTTTTTTTCCTGTGTCTTTCTCAGAGCTAGAAACACATCAGAGCTGCAGGGTGCTCTTGGTCAGAACCTGGGTCACCAGCTGAGCTTTCCAAGCAGCCCCTGTCTCTAAGCAGACTCAGGCACCTATATACCTCAAATCTAGATATCAGAACTATCAACAAAAATACAGAAATGCTATTGCCTTCTTTCATAGCAGCACATGCATGTTACTTGCCTGCCCTTCCATTCCTCCAAGCGAGTTCAGGTGAGAGCTCAAAACCTGTTCAGCATCCCTCACTGCAGACTGCCCAAAGGTAGGACAAGTGACAGCTGCATGCTGCTTTCCAGGTGGTCCATGCTCTGTGACTCCACGCTCTGTGGCCACTCCCTCTTTCCTGGAAAGCCTGGCAGCCTGATGACCTCCATTTCGGAGAGCAAGGGCAGATGTGGCTCCCCCTAGAGCACATCAGCCTGAGCCTGAGAAGACTACGGGGGTCACATGCGGAAAGTGGAGTGAAAATACACTGTTCTTTCCTTATTCCCAGAAATAAATATCCGAGGCGTATTTACTCTGAGAGGGAAAAATGCTGCCTGTCTGGAGTATTTTTATCTACTTATTTTTGTCTGCTAGCAAACAACACACAATTCTCATTGGTTGAGAGTTTTGTTGATTTAGAAAGTCTGGATAACAATGAGGCTTTGATTTTAAAGATCCCACGCAAAGCCCGTGGGGGTGTACCCACCACAATCTGTGCCTTGAAGATGCAAAAGCTATGAGACTCCTCAGGGACTCCGCAGACCTGCTCGTGTCTCAGCCACTCGTCATTAGAGCTTTGCACAAACCTCCTGACACAAACCTGCTCTTTTCTCTGTCAACGGTGAAACAAAACAGCTGCATTAGCCAGACGACTAGGAGCACTACTCCACTGGGAGACAGCATTCCCATCTCCCCCAGTCTGTGCAAGCACAGGGATTAGAGTTCAATGTTGGAACAAAGAAGCTTTACCTTCTGAGTACACAAGCGGAGCACCCCACACATGGCCTCCCTCCTTTGTCAAGGTCACATTAATGTCATGGAGAAAAATCCTCCCCTTAGCAACTATTCCTGTGGGGCGATGGCCATCAGAAGAAAAGTGTTATGCACTGAGCTGCCATGCACAAAGATGTTTGGAGATATTTGATTTCCTTCAAATAGAGGCAAACCTTACTCTGTGCTCACCAATTCTGTAACCATGTCATACAAGCAGGATGAAAGGTAAACTGATAATGGATTGATTCATTCTTTATTTTCTTCAATTTATGGATATAGATCATAGAATCATAGAATAGCTTGGGTTACAAAAAACGTAAAAGTTCATCAAGTCCAACCACAGCCTAACCATACTACCCTAACAACCCTCCACTAAATTATGTCCTTGAGCACCACATCCAAACAGTTTTAAAACACATTCAGGGATGGTGACTCAGCCACCTCCCTCAGGAGCCTATTCCAGTGCTTAACAACCCTTTCTGTAAGGAAGTTTTTCCTGATGTCCAACCTAAACCTCCCCTGGCACAAGTTGAGGCCATTTCCCCTCATCCTGCCACCTGTCACCAGTGAGAAGAGACCAACCTGCTCTCGCTGTAAGCACCTTTCGGATATTAGAAGAGAGCAATAAGGTCTCCTTTCAGCCTGCTCTTCCCCAGACTACACAGCCCAGTTCCTTCAGTCTCTCCTTGTAGGGCATATTCTGCAGGCCCATCACAAGCCTTGTTGCCCTTCTTTAGACCTGCTCCAGCCACGGATATGGTGCAAGATCAACTTCTGGTTAGAGGTAGGCACATTTTTTGGAGGGATATACCTAAAATGTTAGTACCTTAGCTATTTGAATAGATAAAAGTTTACAGCGGCTGCGCTTCTGCTTCTCACCAACACTTCAGACAAAAATGGCAACCTGAAGTGTTCACTGAATGTGCAGAAGCACATACAAAGCCAATATGCACACAATTTCTTTGACTTTGGTCAAGCTGATCTGCACTGCTCACGTATGTCTCTCTTGAAATGATGGAACAGAGTCATACAATCACAGAATAGTTGAGTTAGAAGGAACCTTAAGGCCTGCCCAGTTCCACTCCCCCCTGACGCTGGCTAGTTGCTGCCCATCAGCTCAGGCTGCCCAAGGAGCCATCCAATCTGGCCCTGAGCACCTCAGGGATGGGATGTCCACAGCTTCACTGGGCAGCTCGTGCCAGGGCTTCACTGCCCTCTCTCTAAAGAATTTCTTCTTTAATCTAAATCCCCATTACATTTTTTTTTTTTAATTAGTTTAAAACCATCCTCGTCCTGTCACCACCAAATCATGTTAAAAGTTGGTCTTCGTCTTCTGTCTGAATTGTCTCAGAGTGCAAAAAAACCCCCAAACAGCCAGACCTGCAAGACTGCATAATGAGTGAGCAAATGCTCAGCTCATCTTTTGGAAGATGTATCCATTGCGTATCTCCACTTCAGACACCCAACAATCTGTACTTGCTGATCACGGGCGAACACACTTCTAGCTGGGCAGGATTCTCCGTAGCATTGAATTCCATTAAGCATGGCAGCCCCTTCTTTGCCACCTGCAATGGGTGCCTGCAGTCAGGAACGTGCTGCTTCGGGACACTGTCCTCATGTGATGGCAGCTGTGGCACGGAGCCAGCACAGTACACAACGACACCACCAGGTAAGGCGTACGGCCCCTGGATTGGGTACGTTACCCAAAAATTCTCAGAAGAAATCTTCATCCTCAGCTACAGGCAAAATAATAGCAGCCAGATTCAATTTCAGCCTAAGAAGACCCCGGGGGAAAATGATAGGTGTGGACAAATGCTTTTGCATTTGTCACGGGGTTATCCTCAGATATCAGTCCGTGACAGGGGGCACCGGCCCGGGAAGAAGAGAGAGAAAAAACCGCTTACCAACGGTTTGCCGCGATCCGGCCGGCCCCGGGCCACGTGCGCTCCGGGAGAGGGGGAAGGGCAGAGAGCTAGCCGATGGTTTTAGCGAGGAGAAAACACAGCGGCAACGGTCTGAGGAGGAGCGGTAATTTACTGAGTCTAACTAAATCAAACAAAACGACAGAGACGAGAATGGTCAAAATGCCAGTCAAGCCACGGCACTGCGAGCCAGAGCACTGCTCTTCTCCGCGGCGCACTGAGACGGCCGAGCCGGGGCCAGAGGGAGAGACGCTCGGGTCCAGTCCGGAGCTCCCACCCAGCGTCTCTTCCCCCCAGGTTCTCAGGGGATGCCGCCTTCTCACCTCCCATCAGGATACTCAAAGAGTCCGCAAAAGACAGTAAATGGAACCAGAACATCGTTAACTCCCACTGGTCAACGTGATGTTCTGATGTGGAATGCTGACAACAAAAAAATCACAAAACTGCAACAGCATTGAAATTAATAAAATCTTGGCTGGCAGCCAGTGAGTTATCAGTAAAAACTGGTAATGATTAGTCATATTCAAGAAGTTTTCAATGGTTTCAATTACTGCATGTTATAGAATTAGCTATCTCCCTAAACAGGGATACAAAGAGATTGCAAGTAGTTTATAAGAGAGGATCTGAACGCTCGGGTAAGTAGTCAGCTTTAAATTTCTCTAAACCTGTTCATTCTTAGACACAATTTAAAACTCTGATATTAACCACCATTTTGTTATACTTAACCATAATTCATCAATCACTGGAAAATTAAAAGCTGATAAAGCACTAATATTTATATTTTAATATAATATTCTGCAAATCAAAAAGATGCCTTCAGAAAGCATCTCACTGAAGAACAGCAACAAATGCAGACCATGTCACATACCAATTTCATTTTTTAATAAAAAAACTTCTTCCTTCTTTACTACTGCAGCTGCTTTCAAGATAGTTTTCTAACATTGGAGCATCCACTGTGTGAGGCTAAAGGTTCACTTCACTCACTATGCCACAAGAAGCGTGCTGCAGCAACATGTTCTGCTAGCTGC